AGTTTAACTACTGTGCATGCCTAGAGGTGCTGCCATCTTGGCTGAGCTGGTCATTTTGGTGCATCTTTCTAACCCAAGGCCATTTGAGATTCATAAACCAGGCCTCTCTGTAGAGATCCAGTCTAGCAGGTGTTTGTAAAGTCCTCTTCTGGAGCTGAGTAGCTAACATTTAGATATAGGAATCCTCAGTATCCTTGTGCCAAGTCTCTGTGAATCTTACCCTTGGTCCAGAAAGAGCCAGGGGAAAGACAATGATGCAGAAAATAGATTATTTTAGGAAATGGTTTCTGTTTGATTTATATCCCACACTGTAAAATACCATTCAAACCACATAAGGATACTATCTGGATATAGATTGGTTTTGGAGGCACACAAACTTAATACAACAATTCTGAAAATGGCATTAATGTTAAAACTAAAAGAAACATAAAACTGTCATATGGTGTTTTCACCTCCTTAAAGAAAATGCTGTGTATATCAGTCTATAATGTATAACATTCCACTTGGGGGCAATTAAAAACTAAGGGCCCAATCTAAAACACATCACTGTAAAACGTTTTTACTTAAACAAGGAGTGTCCCTTATAACTTATCTTCTCAGTACGTGTTGCAGGATTAGGCCCCAACACTTTTCATGTTGATTGTGACTACAGTATTTGTACCTTTGGCCAAAAAATGGGTAATTCTGTCTCTAAGTGAATGACTCATGGGCTATATACTGCAGTCAAACAGGAATTTCTGTGTTCCTTTTACTTATGTTCTGAGTCATCCTAAATGCCACACAACCCAGATGGCTTGGTCAGGAAAATTATTAGTGATGATGTTAGTATGGCCGTCAGCTGATGAGTGTACTTGACATAGTCTGATTATAACAAATGTGGCCTCAATTGATATTGCATTTTTCTTAAAAAGATACACAGTGTATCTAGCCACTCAAGTGGTAGATGAAACAGGTATTAATGCAGCAATTTGAGATTCAGGCCCTTAGCATATGTTACACTTAAGACATGATTGACCAGCCAATCACGTTTTATGTTGTTTTTTCAGCCACTTGTTAATGCAATTAATGGTGTGATAAACCAAGGAATAAGACACAAAATTATTACACAAAAAATGTGTAATGATGTTGTAGCTAGTTCCTATTAACTGAACATGTGGACAGGCTGGGGTTCCCAGCTGCAGGGTGGGCCCATGTGGCTAAGAGCCTGGATCAGCTGCGAGCTGCCAGCCCCGAGTACAGAGTGTGCCCCTGTGGCTGGGAGCTCCATCAGCTGATGGGGCTTCCAGCCATGGGAGCTGGTATTTGCTAGAGCAGGGGGAGCCCAGGATTATGAATTCCCCCTGCACCAGCAATACCGTGTGATGAAATCTGATGCTGGATCCCACATTCATGCCTCTTGCCATGCATGTGTGGCATAGCAGGAAGCACAATTGTGGGGATCCTGCATCAGACCCCATTGGACTTAGGCAGACTTTAGGTAACTGAATTCAAAATTTTAATCTTAAAAAGGCCCCATCTTATTGGTCACTTAAGTCTAGAAGTGCCCAAACTAAATCAACAAACTTTGCACCAAACTTTAGGGCAAAGCATCCGCACCAGAAGACAGGCGGGTGATCCGGGCTGACCTGGACAGGCTCAGCAAATAGGCGTACGAGAACCTGATGGTGTTTAACACCGAAAAATGCAAGGTTCTCCACCTTGGGAAGAAAAACCTGCAGCACCCTTATAGGCTCAGCAGTGCTACGCTGGCTAGCACTATGGAAAAAAGAGACTTGGGGGTCATCGTTGACCACAAGATGAACATGAGCCTGCAATGCGATGCTGCGGCTAGTAAAGGAAGCAAAACGCTAGCTTGCATCCATAGATGCTTCTCAAGCAAATCCTGGGACGTCATTCTCCCCTTGTACTTGGCCTTGGTGAGGCTGCAGCTGGAGTACTGCGTCCAGTTTTGGACTCCACAATTCAAAAAGGATGTGGAGAAGCTAGAGAGAGTCCAGAGAAGAGCCGCACGCATGATCAGAGGTTAGGAAAACAGACCTTACAACGACAGGCTGAAAGCCATGGGGCTCTTTAGCCTGGAAAAGCGCAGGCTCAGGGGTGATCTGGTGGCCACCTATAAGTTTATCAGGGGTGACCACCAGTATCTGGGGGAATGCTTGTTCACCAGAGCGCCCCAAGGGATGACGAGGTCGAATGGTCATAAACTACTACAAGACCATTTCAGGCTGGACATAAGGAAGAATTTCTTTACTGTCCAAGCCCCCAAGGTCTGGAACAGCCTGCCATCGGAGATGGTTCAGCACCTACATTGAACACCTTCAAGAGTAAATTGGATGCTTATCTTGCTGGCATCCTATGACCCCAGCTGACTTCCTGCCCTTTGGGCAGGGGGCTGGACTTGATGATCTTCTGAGGTCTCTTCCAGCCCTAATGTCTATGAATCTATGAACATCTATCTGTTTGATTTGAAAGGTTGCAAATATTTTGTGCTTAACATAGTGCTACAGATTCAAAGATGGCTGACCACTGCTCAGTGTTAGACTGAATCTACCTCAGTGTTTATCCCTGCAAATGTGCTCCTTAATTTTAGTCAGACAGATTTCCTAATGAGCAAGTCAGCCATTCTTTCATTTGACAGTTTAAAGTTCTTCCTATAAAGTGGGACTGGATTTGAACAAGTAAAAGTTCATAACCCAAAAATCATGATTTATCCACATTTATGACATAATTAAGAGCCTTTATTGTAATGTGATTTTGTCTAGTTAAAAATGAAGTAACCTATTAAACATTTGTAATAAAGGGGGGTATAACATTGTCACTTTTTGTAATGAAAAGTGGAGAACAATTTTCACTTCAAACTTCCTGAGCTTAGACAGCAAATTAAAATACAACTTCTTATACTAACTATAAAAACCTTTATAAACCTTGTGGCTGCACTTTTAATGCCAGTCGGTGAACATCCAGTCCGCTCTTGTAGATCTGTTAGCTCTACTTTTACAGTAAGCACAGCACATCTGTGCACTTACCTTGTCTATGGTGGGATGAGTGAATTTTGGCAAAAACAACCTACAAACCTGTCATTGCAGAGCAGTGTTTGGGGCCAGGATCCTGTGATTATCAACCTGAGGGTGGACTTAAAATGGAGATAAATGATTGCTCTTTTTATTGGCTAGGGAATGAAACTACACATGCTTTACTAGTGCCAGAATGCTTTAGGCAATGTTTAGCACAAAGGATTGTCTTAGCTAGAGCCTAATTATGCTGAAATTACACAACACCTGTTAGCATCTAAAATACACTAAAGCCACTGGTGCAGAAGATCATTACTTATTATCAGCAGCTGCATAACTGGAGTATTAAGGGGAATAGACTACATGAAGCTGCTGCATGAGCCCCAAACCTTACTGTAAGAAGGCAAGAATAAGGGGTGGGGGAGGTAATTTCATAGTATTATTGATGATATGCAGGTCTTCAAAAATGCACTCACCTGTTTGCTTGAGGTAAGTAGGAATTTGGACTGATTGAATCAGATGACTTAGACCAAGGAACAAAACAGATGGAGCTGATGGCTCCTTCACCTGAGGGCAAAGGACAAACTGGGAAAAAGATGCAACTGGTGCATGAAGAGAGAGAGAGAGAGATGGATTCAGCAGGACAATGGTCCTGCTACCTTTGCATTTTGAGGTTGGCTGAGGGAGTACAGCAGAGGGAACCAAGGAATGTCAGTCTTATATTGCTTAGGTAAGAGGAATCTGAAAGAATTCACTCCTAAACTTGCAAAAAGGACTCCTGGAGGCTAGGTCAGTCTTCAGTATCTCTAGCTTTCTCCCTCGCCAATCCAGGTTGACACCGAGCTGCCTAAAACTGGGAAATGAGCAGAGGTAGGGAACCTCCAGAGTAAGCCTTCATTGCAAATTCTTGATATGCACTTGCAAAGCAGGATGGTACCAGAAAGTGATGTGAGCAGCTGTAAAATACTGTATTTTGTACCAGGTAATTGGGAGGGGGAGAAAAGGTGAAGCTGAGATCTAAGGTTGGGGCTTTCTGTTCAGGCCCATCTTCTGTCAAAATCTAGAATACACAGATCCACTGTTTGATATTCCTGTTGGACGGTGACCAGGGGTGAGTGGGTCAAAGTGTAGTGCTCCACTGCCATATACCTTGTGTAGTCATTGACATCAGTGCACAGAGAAACTAAAATGCTGCCTTGCTGATTAGGTTTCATATTACTATAAGCTTTTATTGCATAAATGTTGAAGACTATTCAAGGTTAAAGGCAACAGAGAGGCAGGTCCTGTTCTCATTTCATTTTTCTTTAGCTAAGTAGTTAATAAACTCTACCTATTATTTTGGGTATTAACCTGCTTTGTCCTTTGCACACAGTTGCATTGGATGGAATGAGGAATACATCTCCCTCTTGTTTCAAACATGATACATGACAAATGAAACAAGCATTTTGTCATTAAAATAGAAATATTCATTTTCTTATTCTTAGTTGTTAGTTTAGTTTAGTTTTTAGGTACAAAATTAAATTGCCACAGGAGTTTAGACACATTTAACTCTTACATATGGTGAACCTCAGATGTATAGCAAACTAAAACTATTCAGAGGGGTATCTTTATAGAGGAAAAAGGCCCAAGCTTTGTTTTCTTGGATATCTGGCTAGTTTGATGTCTAAAACTTGATAAACATCAAAATTAAACACATTTGCTCCAAGATGTGTAATTCTTTTACTTCTGTTAGGAGCTCCCACAAAGGGTCTGGAAATACTAGTATGAAATCAGAGTTTGAAGAGAAGGAATGACAGAATAACAAATCTGAGAGGCACTGAAAATATTTAGTCACTGTAACTGAATTGGGGTCTGAAAATTCCTGGTAAGGTTTACTGTCAAATGGAAAAATAATTGTACCCATACCTTCCCGATTTAAGCACTGAACAGGATATTAATATCAGGTAATGAAATATTAAAAGCAAATTAAAATTGAACTTGGGAACTTACTCAACATAATAAGTGCCATAAATGGGATCATCAATTTTCTCCCAGCCATATGGAAGCTCTGAAAAACAAAGAGTTATCTTTCTCAGTAACTACAGTACAGAAAGCCAAGATTTCTTATAATGAAAAAACAGATCTTCACTGCATGTTGAAGTATGGCATCAGATGGCAAGGTTAGATATAGTGATCAATACCAATGACAGATTTTAGAGACATACCAAGGCAACTGTGAATAGTAGTGACTTGAAAATTGGCATGCAAACAGATTCCAGTCTCTAGAACAATACATTTTAGTTGAACTACTTCTTTATTGTTTGAACAGCTGTGCTAACCAGTAATTGTACCATATCTTACATGATATCATTGCCCCACAGAAGTGATGGACTTCTTTTTCTGAAGGTATGCACAGTGTGTAGTATTATTTGACTAAAGGGGAGCTGTCAAGATAAGACACCCAGTCTTTTTAATATAGCTAACCCTTTCTCAGATTATTCCTTACATTGGTGCAAATGGGGAAGAGGCTTGAAAACTTAATCTTTATTTTTTTTTAATTATACCACTTAGTTTTTGCAGTTGGATGATAGAAATGGAATGCTCAAGGGACCTCAAAAGGTAATTTAGGTTACCCAGTCTTTAAACACTTAATGACAGTGATTCTCTAGCTTCCCAGTTTCATTGCTTAACCATCCTTATGCTTAGGTTAGATATTAGGAAAATTTTCCTAAATTTCTATATCTTCAAATTAAGCCAATTAGCTCTTGTGCTATCCACAGTGGACATAGAAAACTCGATGCAACTTTCCTCTTTAAAGGAATTTTATATATTTGAAGGTTTATAATATTTCCCTTTAGTCTTCTCATTTTTAAATTAAGCAAACCCAGTTTTTTCCATCCTTTCCTCACAGTTTATTTTTTTTTGAAACTCTTAATTTGAGTTGCTCTCCTCTGGATTCTCTGTGCCTCTCAGCATGAACTAAAAGAACGGCATTGCAATAACAAAAGTTAGAAATAAAGGACTGGATCCAAACTGGTCAACTAGGCCCCTAAATGGTAATTAGGCAGAATGTAGGTGCCTACATATTAAGGTAACATTCTGAAGTCTTGAAAAGAGATCTCAGTCAATCCCTTCTCCAATAGCTGCAAAACTCATTAGGCAAGTATATTTATTCAATGCCCACCTC